CTCAACTTTATTTTTTATTTTCGTTATTATATTTTCCACACTGGTTTTTCTTTTCTTTTTTGTTGTTAATATAAGCATTTATTTTCTTACTTCTTGCAAAAATTTAATGCAAATTATCTCTTGAAACTTTGAAAATCAAAATAAGTTTTCTCTAAAAAAACTAAAATCTAATCATTTCTTGTCTGATTTTTATCTTTCATTTTTTCATGAGCCACCATTTTTTCATTATCATATTTTCACACTTGCTTTTTCTTTTTTTCTGTGTTATAATTACCATTTTTTTTATCTTCTTACTTTTTTTAAAGTAATTTGAAACGTTACTTCTTTTAAAGTATCTTTTATAATGTCAAAAAACAGTAAATGGAGCAAAAATTGTTATTTTCAACAATAAAAAGCTTTAAATTTAACCATTTCCTGATTGATTTTCATTTGATGCAACGTTTTTTTTGTACATATTTTTGAGAGAGGTCGAAAAGTGTTCATTCCTGGCCTTCTACTACCTACCTCTATTACCGCCCTCGTTTTCTAAGCATCTACCAGTGAATATTTGTTAATTTTTTCATCATTTCTCTCTAGTTACGAAACCGAAAACCGCATCTCTCACGAGGAATCCGGTCAATTGAAAAATCCTGGTACCGATAACGAAATCAGTTCAGTTCAAGGCCAATTCTCTTACACCGGTGACGATGGTGCAACTTATAGTATCACTTATACAGCTGATGAAAACGGGTTCCGTCCTGAAGGAGCGCATCTTCCTGTTGCACCCCCAATTCCTGCTGAAATCCTGAAAGCTCTGGAGCAAAATGCCGCTGATGAAGCTGCTGGTATTGTAGACGATGGGCAATATCGTGCTGAGCATCAAGGTGAAGGTGCTGGAGGTGCTGGAGGGTTCTCAGGAGCGACTGGTGGTGCTGGTGGGTTCTCAGGAGCGACTGGTGGTGCTGGAAAGTTCTCAGGAGCGACTGGTGGGGCTGGAGGGTTCTCAGGAGCGGTTTCGAACCAGTACCTTGGACCCAAACCTAGCTCGAGTTCGGGTTCCGGCGGATACAGATACTAAATAATCGACTGCAACAAGGCTGTATTTTATTATTTATTGTTAAAAACTACAAAAATAGAGCAATTTTTATGGTAAATTTTCGTGGTTTCATTTATAATTTAATTAAATCCAATCGGAAAAATGCAAAACTTGGAAACCTTTCAATTTCTTAAAGTTTGGAGTTCGGACGTGAGCGATATTAAATAATATTGATACACAAAACTTTTCAATATTAAATTTCAATTTAAACTTCAATAAATTTCACTTGAAGCTTTTGAAGAGTAAAAATTCAACACTTGTTAAAATTATAACAAGGAAGTAATCGCCTGGAATGTTATCTCGTTAAATACAATACTTTGATGAGTTTTTTTAAATAAAATCTACAAAAGTAGTGAAATCCAAACCAGACGCCTCTTTTATACTATGACTCGCTCCGTTGTAGCGCAAAATTGGACACATCTCGATATGTAAATGAATGAGTATTGTTTCACGGCTCTCACATTCTCCTACAATCAGATACAAAGACAACAAACGTGTAAAAATACCAAGATAAACGTTTACAATTAATTGTGCAACACCTGACTAGCAAAACTTGCAATTTCTATTGTAACAATTTATTTATCTTGAGTCTAATTGTTGTTTTTCTTGTATGTTTAGAACTAGTTTAATATTCATCATGTGGTAGTTTGTTAATTAATGTTACTGTTGTCAAGTAAATAAAACTGGATTAAATTGAAATAACTTAGATAAGGGAAAAAATTGCTAAAACGTGGGTTAGATCCTTTGATGAAAATGTGCCAAGCTACATTGTGTTAACTGGTAAAACGTTTTGTACATAAATCCCTTCTATTTCCTTCAAGTTCTACTTCGGTGATCTTAATCGACCAATTTTCAGTACAGAAAAATCGCAGCGCAAAACAGAACTTCAAAATAAACACAACAAGAATTGGGAAACATAAAGATAAAACACAGTTTCTGCTATACTGAAATGGTTTTATTTGCAATTAGTTTCTCAAATGAAATAAATCAGAGATTTTACACAGAATTGTCAAAATTATTTAATAACAAAAAAAGTAAATAGCACAGAATAAAATATATTAAAAAAGTCAAAGAAACGCTTTCTGACACATTTTTATTACAATCATAAAAATTCATTTTCTTATTTCTTGGTAAAAATTTCTTAAAAAAGGTAGTGAGTGGCACAAGAATCAAATCTTTGCTTTTAAAAATAAAATTCTTTTGCAAATTAAAATTTAATCATTTCATTAACGTTTATTTTCTTATTTTTTGCAA